ATATGTCAGAAGCACCCCTAAGGACATCTGAAATGTTTACCTCACCTCATCCTCTCTTTTCTGTTCTTTCTTCAATACTCCCTTTCTGAGTAAATGAATTTCTGGTCATTTAAACCACATTTGTTTTGCTTCAATAAACTGAGCATTATTGCAACCGTCTTACACTGTTTTCTTTAAACTTAAACCCCTCACAGTTCATCCCATAATGTACTACCAGTACTACATGCTAACAAACAACTTGAAAGTCACCTTCCTATTCAGAAAGCTTCAGCAGCCCTCTTGATTTCTTTGGAGTATGCATCATGTAGAAGTCCTGAGTCCCTATTACCAGGCTCTTCTCCCAGACCTCGGCTCCGTTTCTTATAAAGCTAGCTCATGCTCATATTCACGACCCAGAAACTTTAAGATATTTAGAGTTTTAGATGCTATGTAATTTAGGAGTCAAACAAATGAAACAAAACAAGGACCATACTAGCTTTGCGACTGTGACTAATTTAGTGCAAGGAGAATAACTCATGAGTGGTATTGATTCTGCTCTGAGAGGATAAACAACCATTACTGGAGTGTCTGTAACTGGAGGGGGCACAAAAAAAGGAACAAGTCCCTTCTTTCTCTCCTGGCTTTCAATCTGCCTTTCGAGACTCCTGAATATCTATCAAAAAATCTCCCTATATGAGAAATAAGGAGCCCTGCTTCTCACTATGAAAGGTGGGAGGTGTGGTGTAACTGCCTTTCTGGGCTCCTGCAGCTAAAGCTTCTGTATCTACACAAACCAGTGGTTCTCAAACTGTGGGTTGCAACTCCTTTGGCAAACCCCAATCTTCAAAACTATTTACAATTCCTAACAGTAGCAAAATTATAGTTATGAAATAGCAACGAAAATAACTTTGTGGTTGGGGGTCTCCACAACATAAGGAACTGTGTCAAGGGGTTAGGTCCCTTTGGAGCCAAAGTATTCATTAATTTCAATGTATAACATTTAGATCTACTGCAAGCATTTCTATTGGGTCATATTTATGTTTATATAACTTCTAGTATACAAATTAAGCTAATATATCCACATATTCCATGGAAGTCACATTTACTAGCCAAAATATAAAATTCAAAACATCATCATGCATAAAAGTACTTCTTTACACAGTACTCTATGTAGTATAATTTATCTGTTAATATGAGGCTTATACAAGGCATCTATTCTCATGCTCCTTCAACAGCTAATAACAGAGGGATCTGAAGTGACCTTTCCTTATATTAAGCTTCTATAATCCAGAGTAGAGAGAAGAGCATGCTCTGCTGGTCATTTATGGATAGACTTATATGTGGACACGCTCTTACTCATCTTTCCTCTCCAGTGTCATTGTTAAATACCCTAAATAGGTCCCGGCAGACAGCTGTGGTGTTTCTGAAGTCTTTCCAAGGATGAAAGCTGCTGATGTTTTCTTCTCCTTTTCCTTCTCCTTCTCCTCCTCCTCCTTTTTCTTCTTGTTCTCCTCCTCCCTTTCCCTCTCCTTCTTCATTTCTTTGCAAGTTTGGTTTCTCTACTCTCTAGGATACTGGTAGCAGAGACATCTTCAAGTCCAAAGCTGATACACGTGCCAGATCACCTGAGTGTGTTGTACATGCTCCAGCAGAGCAGAACTCATCCCTCTGAATACTTGTCCTCCTTAACAAGTGCGTTAGGAGGATGGATAGCCTTTTTTTTTTTTTTTTTTTAAGCCATGGATCAAGTACTAGAGGATAAAAGCTTTAAAGACATTCACTGGCCATGTGTTTACTAAACATTAACTGGGGCCCAGAACTTTGTCCCTTCAGCCTATTTGATTAAAATACTCCTGAATGGATTTGTTTCTATGTTACTACACTGATTCAATGGAGATAAGGGGTGCTTTCTGTTTCTGGTTTCTGAAAGTGCAGCAGATAGGGCTCCAAGTCTGGATGGGAGTGATGGTGCTCACAGTAGCCCCTTCCCATTTTGGAATCTATTTAAGCTTACTGCTCCTGAAGGGGCTTAAGAGGAGGTTGACAGTCATGGAGAGACTCAAGAAATTTTATTGCTTTAAACAGATCTTTGAGTACACATTTTATCATTTTTTCAGAAATCCTTCTAATATTATACTTAGATAAGTTGCTATGCAGCCATATATAGGCAAATGCTTATGTTCACAATTTAAGTCCATGCATTAGTGTCCAAATAGGGAGAGAAGGGAGAAAAGAATGAAAAGGAGGAGGGAGGGAGAGAAGGAAAGAGACAACCAAGAGTGTTTTACTTTTTTAAAAAAAGTCAAGGTATAGTGTAGAAAAGCTATACTGTTGTAATAACGCTGTGCATGGTGGTGCATACCTGTGATCCTAGCACTTGAGAGGTAGAGGCAGGAGGATTGAGAATTCAAGGTCATCTTTAGTCATAATAGTAAGTTTGAGGTCAATCTGGGCTACCTGAGATCATGTCAAAACAAGTAAACAAATCTATACTACTGTGAATTCCAGAACACAGTCTGAAGTGCTAGTTCCTGGGCTAAACATATACCCAGCTCTGAAATCCACACTAGTCTTTTTAAATCTAGAGAGAGGAATCACTGTTTCAAAGGCAGCTCATTTAAGAGAAGTAAATAGGATCGGGCGGTGGTGGCGCACGCCTTTAATCCCAGCACTCGGGAGGCAGAGGCAGGCGGATCTCTGTGAGTTC